AAATAGCGGTAATGATAGCGGCAGTAATACCAAAGTCTCTCTTATTCCTGAACAAGGTCATAGCATGTGGGCCATCAACAGGTACAGGCACCCAGCGAGGCAGCCAAACAATCACGGCAAATTTATATGATGTACTATTCCAACATTGAGTATAAAAGCAGGTAGCATTATTGCAATGATGAGGCACATCTCTACTCACTATGAACATAAAAGGGGAATATACACACACTGGAGTAGGCTGATATGAAATATTGTACAAAGGCTCAGCTCCTTCCTCAGAGCAGCCTGGATTAGTTGCTTTAATGCCGGTCACTCCGGGACTCGATGTGACTGTCTTAGGAGAAACTTTTGTGCCCCAACTGCCCCAGCGCTTGGACTGACTCCATTTAAATTGACTTACTCCATGCATACCACCTCCAAGCATAGCCATGGGCTCCAAATTCATGCAGCTCCCATTAACGCCACATAAAAGCCAATTATCAAATGGATTAGAGACATAGGATTGAAATGGGTTTTGATCACTAAAATTGGACCCGGCAAAGGAGCTATTAAAGGCAGTACTGATCACAGGGGAGAAGGTGAAATGCTTTCCGGCATCAGCCCAGACTATAGTATGAGATTGACACCCTGTCCAAGGCCACATTTCTCCCCAATTCATACCCCAGCAATAAGGGGCCCATTTTGGTTGTCTGGGGGGCATATCATCCTTCATTTTTTCAGGCCACCATCCTGCCAGCCATGTGGCATTTGCGGTAATGCAAGGCCCAGAGGTACTTTCAGGCAAATCGAACCATCCCGCAGTTTGATTATAAAGTGGGATGTGCCGGGCGGTGGTGGCGCACGCCTTTAATCCCAGCACTCGGGAGGCAGAGCCAGGCGGATCTCTGTGAGTTCGAGGCCAGCCTGGTCTCCAAAGCGAGTTCCAGGAAAGGCACAAAGCTACACAGAGAAACCCTGTCTCGGAAAACCAAAAAAAAAAATTAAAAAAAAAAATAATAAAGTGGGATGCACTGGGCCTGTTGGGAAATATTTTCAATTATCTGAAAGCAAAGTGTTCCTTCTAGGTGGAATGATCTATTCTCCCCTATGGGAGCAATTTCAGAATCTAAAGGGAAATAAGCTACATCTATACTTTTATTACTACTAAATAGCCGAGGAAACAACTTAGCATTATGACAAACTGGCATCAGCCTCGGGAACACGGACAAGAGTCCTCATCTTTGCTCCATCATCCCTGGTTGCACCGCAATTATGAGCAGAAGACTCGCCACCGTGGCCATCATTTTCTTCCTCATACTGGACTCTTCTTGTAAGGCGTTCTGGCACCCACACCAGATCCTGTCGATCCTGAGGGAAAACACAAACAGAGCCTTGTGCCCATGTCAGCACGGGATCAGGCCCATGCCAGAGCCCTGTCAAAACATCCTTCCATTTTACCATTCCCCTAGTGGGGTCATGAGGCTCCTGATGTCTATCCGCTGCAGAGCGACTCTGAGCATCCAAAGTTAAAAAATTGATGGTAAATAGAGCCAAGGAAAGTCTCTCTTTAGGGGTATGGCCATGGCCTATTCCCCCTTTTTGTTTTTGTAGACATTCCTTTAACGTGCAATGAGCACGTTCCACAATGCCTTGGCCTTGGGAATTGTAGGGCAGGCCATGAACAAGCTCAACCTCCATCTGAGTGCGGAAAGAGGCAAACTTTTGTCCTGTATAGGCCGGCCCATTATCAGTTTTGAGTTGTCGAGGCTTACCCCATGCTGCCCAGGCTTCCAGGCAATGCACAATGACATTATGTGCCTTTTCTCCCACCAGTGGGGTAGCATGCATGACCCCTGAACAGGTGTCCACAGAAACATGGATATATTTGGTCTGTCCAAAATCAGAGATATGTGTCACATCCATCTGCCATACTCTAAGGGGAAGTAATCCTCAGGGATTCACACCATCACTGGGTGGATGCTGATGAATTACGCAATGAGGGCAGTCTAGAACTACTTGTCGAGGATCAGCTCGAGAGAGATTGAATTTTTGTTGTAGGGTCTTGGCATTAACATGAAAATTGTGATGAAAGTCCCTAGCTCTGTCCAAAGCAGAGCTTAAGAATACCCATTCTTTGTGAGTCCACTGATACACAATATCATTGCCTTTACAAAGGGGCCCTGGCAGGCCAGTGTGGGCTCTAATATGGAAGGGATAAAAGGGGAGTGTTCTTTGCCAAATCAACTGCTGTAATTGTTGAAATAAAGAGCAAACAGGGCTAGAACTTTCAATAGGTCCAGCTGCTTCTAATACCTTAAGAGCATTAACAACATAAGCAGAATCAGATATTAAATTAAAAGAAAAAGGGCAGGCTCGAAAGACCTCACTCACAATCTTTAGTTCGGTAATTTGAGGAGCCTCAGGCTGAAATTGATGTTGTAGAGGCTCTTGGTCAGCTATTATATAAACTCCACACCCTGTTTTTGACCCGTCAGTAAATATATTAGGAGCTCCAGGTACGGGATTGGGTGCAGTAACTTTTGGAAACAGCACAGGATGTTCTTTATAAAAGGGCATTAGGGGATGTTTGGGATAATGATTATCTATAGGACCACTAAAAGACCAGTGAAGAATAGCCCAATCATCTATGGTGGCAGTTAAAACCTGGACCTGATGACTAGTGTAGGGTAATATGATAGAGGCTGGCAGGGCCCCAAAATGTTGAATGCATTGTTGTACCCCGGTTATGGCAATGGTTGCCACCGCAGTAGGATAATGTTCAATAGACATGGCTGGGGAGATTTTAGGATAAATCCATAACAAAGGGCCATTTTGCCACAACAGGTCAGTAGGCTGGGAGAAAGTGGGCAAAACACAAAGGACAACACCCTGGCCCTCCTGCACTTGTCGTAAAAAGGCTCCTTGCAACCTCTCTTCTACCCTGGGCAGAGCTTTGCTGGCTTCTGTAGTTAATTGCCTAGGGGAATCCAGTGCAGAATCTCCATTGAGAATATTATAGAGGGGTTTTAACTCATAATTTGGTAGTTTCAAATAGCCCCTAATCCAATTAATATTGCCCAACAATTTTTGAAAATCATTTGGTGTTTTCAAACAATCCTTTCCCAATTCTACCTTTTGTGGAGTAATTTTGACATTATCTACTTTTGATCCCAAATACTGGATTACTGTATCCTTCTGTACTTTCTCTGGGGCTATAACTAATCCCTTTTCCTCCAACATCTTGATCAGATCTATATAAGCTGTTTCCAGCAACTGTTCCTTACGTGCTGCTAATAAAATATCATCCATGTAATGAATGCACCTCAGGGTTGGATGCTTCTGTCTAAGGGGGCAATGGCTTCCCCTACATAAAGTTGGCACATAGTAGGACTATTGGCCATGCCCTGAGGCAAAACTACCCATTCATACCTCTGATCAGGTTCCTCATGATTATAGGAAGGGATTGTAAAAGCAAACCTTTGACTATCTTTTGCATGAAGCAGAATAGAAAAAAAGCAATCCTTAATATCTATAACAATTATAGGCCAAAAAGCTGGTAAGGAGGAGAGGAGCAGTAGCCCACGCTGTACAGGGCCCATGATTTGCATTTGATCATTAATGGCTCACAAATCATGTAACAATCGCCATTTCCCAGATTTTTTCTTTATAACAAAGATAGGTGTATTCCAAGGAGAAATAGAGGGTTTTATATGTCCTAAAGAATATTGTCCTTGCACTAAAGTACGAGCAGCTTCCAATTTTTCAGAGGAGAGGAACTCACACTGAGTTCCTCTGAGGAACCCACACTGGCTCCTCTGTTTTCCATTGTATGGGGTTTCCCTCCACCGCAGCCCCTAGGAAAAACCCAAACCCTGTCTATAATTTCTCTGTTGTACTGTAATGGGGTCCTTTCTACCCTGTAAGAATTTTCCGAGCCCATAATTTGGGTGATATCCCATATTTTTCATTATATTAATATTTTCATCATATTAATTAATCATTGGTCAATTTGAAACCCATGTGCTTTAGTAGATCTCTACCCCACAAGGATATAGGAAGGTCCAACACATAAGGTTGCACAGTTCCAGAGTGCCCCTCCCTATCTTTCCACGATAACTGTCTAGCACTTGCATCTGGAGCCTGTGCATACCCAAGGCCCTGCAATGTCTGAGAAGAGGATTGGATGGGCCATCCTGTTGGCCAGTCTTTTTTAGCAATGATACTTTTGTCAGCCCCAGTGTCCAATAGCCCCAGGATACGTTTATTATCCACTGTGAGCTCTAACATTGGTCTTTGATCCATATCTAATGATAAAAATGTTAAATCTATTCCAGAGGACCCAAAACCTCCCTCTCCCCTTTCTTTTGGCTGTGCTGCAAAATGGCCATGTAGGCTAGGCAAAATCAGTAACTGGGCAATCCTGTCACCTGGGGAAATAGCCGAGATTCCTCTCGGCGACTCAACCATTATCTTGACTATTCCCGTGTAATCCAGGTCAATCACTCCAGGATGAACTTTAAGACCTCGCAAGATCATGGAGGATCTTCCTATTAACAGTCCCACTGTGCCAGGCTCAAGAGGTCCTTTAAAGTCTGTATTTATCAATTGGACTCCCATCTGTGGGGTTAGTACGAGCCTGGTGGTGGCATGGAGGTCCAGTCCTGCTGAGACCGCAGTGGCTCTCCGCGGTTCTCGGGGTGTCTGAGGGATGGCCACTGTTCTTGGTTCCATCCCTCGTTCTGACTCTCGACTGCCCCATATATTTGTGGGCCCTGAGACTGGGGACCCCGCTGTCCATTTTTTGAACGGGCTCCTAGGGAGCCCGGAACTAGCGGCTGATCATTTATGTCTTTTACTGATCGACATTCATTTGCCCAGTGTTTTCCTTTCTTACATCAAGGACACACCCCGGGTTGCATAGGGTGTTGTCCTTTTCCTGCCTCAGCTGTACTTCCTCTCTCAGGGCACTGTCTCTTCAAGTGCCCTGTCTTGCCGCATTTAAAGCAAGCACCTGAACTTCCTCATTTATTTTGAGTTAGCTGAACTACAGCTGCTGCTAGACCAGCATTAGTCAGGGGCTCCCCTAGTTCTCGGCAAGCCTTCATCCATACCTCTAGCCCCCTGTTCTTATTCGGGGTTATGGCAGCCCTGCATTCTTTTGTACATTGCTCATAAATAAGTTGCTTAATCAGGGGCATGGTTGTGTCAGGTTCCCCAAAAATTCTGCCTGCAGCCTCAACCATGCGAGCTACAAAATCTGAAAAAGTCTCTGTAGGGCCCTGTAAGATCTTAGTAAGATTGCCACTGACTTCACCTTTGTTTGGGAGTGACTTCCAGGCTTTAATACCAATCTTATTAATCTGTTCATAAACCTGTACTGGGTACCCAGTCTGCTCATTGGCGAATCTCCCCTGGCCCAGGAGCATATCCAAGCCCCAAGCCGGCTGCCCTCTGGCTTGGTTAGCCGCAGCCTCTTTATTGGCAAACTCAATCAAAAATGCCTTCCAATCGAGATATTGCCCAGGACTTAGGCAAGCCTGAGCCAACCCACCCCAATCGCTAGGGGTCATGCAGTGCCTGCTCAATGCTTCAACTTGGGCCAAGGTAAAAGTGGCGGTAGTGCTGTAGGTCCTAACAGATTCTGCTAAAGACTTGATGACCTTAAAGTCAAGAGGTTCCTCATATCGATTCCCCTGTGGGTCTTGGAACACTGGATAAGCCAATCGAAGCTCTGTTCTCACTGTTCTCCAAACTCCCGGACTAAAAGTATGACCAGACCCTCCACTTCCTCCATTCGTGTATGGAGAAGGGGCCAATGGCTGGGCTTGACAATTCCCATGCATACAGCTCTCTTCTCTCTCAACCTTATCGAGGCCCTTTTTCTCCTTCATTTTGTCTTTTCTGCTTAGGCCCATATTCTCCATCATTTCTATTACAGAAGTCATCTCCTCATCTGAATTGGACATCTCCAGTCCTTCAAGCTCAGAGAGGTCTGGGTACAATGGAATTGGGGCGCCCTTCCGTCCCTTACTTTTCCCTTCCCTACTTGCTCTTTCACTATTTGCCTTTTCCGATCTCTCCTCCTGCAAACTCTCTAAAGCTGCCTGTCCATTTTCTATGGCTTCATTGCATCGCTGGTCCTCTAGGCACCCGCGAACCAGCTTCCATACAGGCCTGACACCAGCTTTGAGTGTTCCTTGCTCAAAGGCGAAGTCTAAGTCCCTGCCAACTTTCTCCCAGGACGGGATGGTGAGGCTACCTGAAACTGCAAACCAGGGAGATACGACGTCACACTCCTCTAGGAATCTCTCTAAGGTACTTTTCTTAACTTTTAAGTTCTTCGATCTGAGCAGCTCATTAAGAGCCAAAAAAATTGGGTGTGAAGAAGAGGTACCCATAATTAGTTCTAAAATTTATGTACATTTTGGTTTGTCATTCACGACCTGTTTACTTTCGGTTCACCGCACCGCGAACTTTCTTCGCTCTCTCTTAGTCTACAGAGAAGAGCAATATCCCCACTTTCATTGAGGATCCCCACCTTACCTGGGGACTTACCAGTGCACTGCCCTGACTGCGAAGAGTTCTGAGCCTTCAAGAGACAGGAGAGGCAAAGGCTCCCGGTATGGGCCACCACTTGTTGCGTCCGCCTCAACAAGCAAGAAAGACGCAACACCAGGCTCTTCTCCAAGCAGTTTATTCAGGTACCTTGAAACAATCTTCTGACCCCGGGGAGAGCCAACCCACAACTTAAATAGCCTCTGGGTAGCCTACCCCAGTCTGCCACATGGGTACTACGGATAGGTCAAGGTACGGGGAAGCAAGCCAGATCCCAGCCTTAGCCAAATAAGGAGTTGTTTTACAGAGAGCACTCACCGTCGGGAGGGTGGAAGGCGGAGGCCAGCGCCATCTTGGAGGCGTGGCTGCATGTAGCTCTCTACAAGTATGGACCTCCCAAAGATAGAATTCAGGTCCTCAGGCAATTCTCTGGCATTCAATTGTGGTTCTGAGACAATGTAATAAACAAATGCTTAGCACCTATATTCAATTTTGAAAAATATATGATTGTATAAATATTTTAATATGCAAAGAAAATTTATTATTCAATTTGTCCTTTGTTCTTGTATCCTACCATGAAATTAAGTTTACAATCTGAAAATATGACAATAATTTAATGTTGTAGTATTTCTAAAAATCTTATTTGAGCACCAGTGAGATGGCTTATTGGTAAGGTATTTGGTGTTCAAAGCTGGAAACTAGATGATGATCAACCTATTAAGAGGACCACAAAGCTGTCTTCTTGTCTTCACATATCTGCCATGAGCTTACAACCCATAATCATATCACACACCACATAAATGTTTCTTAAAAGAGATATCTTAGTGATATTACATTACCTGGCATCTCTCGATAATTCTCTTGGAAGGAAGTACTTGAAGATGAAATGCCAAAATGTTAACTCATGTGGATGGGACAATCATGGAAAATCAAATTATATAAATATACATATATAACAAAGCAAGCTATGGGATGAGGTGCATGGTGGATTGCTTATTATCCTACTTTTTACATCTTTATCAGATAAATGAAAATAATGCTTTGAATAAACACATGAGGTATTTAATGTTTCTTTTATTCTCTTCCATTAAGCATTATAACATTAACATAGTTAAATTTTGTTGAAAAAAGCATACATGATGGGAGTACATCATCTACCTTTGGACTTGTACTCAGAAGGTGGATACATGAGGAATCTAAGCTCAAATGTATCCCTGAATCATTACTAACATCCAAGCAAAAAAGAATTACAAGCACATATCTCAAGGGAATTCGTGAAAATCTGAAAAATAAAGCCAGCAACAAAAACCCACTACCATTTTACAGATAATCTTACTTGAAAAGTATGATCACACACTGCCTGATATTTAAGTAAACAGTGGACCACTTAGATTATGGGTATACCATTCTATACACTACAGAAGGAAAATACCTATCACTATACAAAATGAACAAAAGGCATAGGAGAAATAAAAAGGCAAAAAAATAAACATCACTAAATGTACTTGTCACATATATAGAACACTTTAGTATCTACTTCAAAGGTTTCAAGATAGAAATCACAATGCAGTGATCTCCACCATTAACCCTGAGTGAACATGGTAATTTACTTCCTTCAAGTGTGTGATGAAAAATAAATGAAACATGATTTCATTTTCTTGAAGCCAAAGACAACTGTGATGTCTAAAGTCTTTACCAAATTGTTTACATGAGCAGGGTTTTTCTCTTGTGTTAGTTTGTCCTCATTTCCACACTTCAAAATGATATAAATAGACTTTAAAAAATTACAGCACTGGAGATATGACTGGGAAGTTAAGAAATGTTCATTCCCAGGACCAAGGTCTGATTTTTTACAACTTCCTGTCATTCATCTTCAAGATCCAATGGTCTAACATTTTCAGCAACCATATTGCATGATCACATACCCACACAAACACAGCGACATCACATAATTACAGGTACAACAACTGTTTAAAGAAACAATTTTACATGAAGGTTTTTCTTCCTTTAAGCATTAATTACTATAACAGGTGTTGAGGCATCCAACTGATTTCAAAATTTTTCTTCAACATGAATTGATTCATGTAACAGAAAACTAGCAGGTAGGCTTGAAGTCAGGGTAATCAATCCTTCTAAGTTGGTGGTATCCTTTTGGAATTTTTAGGAAACGCTGCCCTGCTGGAGTAAATATGTGACTAAAGGGAAGGCTTTAAGAAATTACATCCAAGCACCATTTCCCAGTCCCATTCTCTGTTTCAGGCTGCAATTTAAGGATGTGAGTTCATAGCCTCCTGCTTTAGCTGCCATGTCTGACACTTATTGTCATGCCACTTTCATGCTTATATTGTATCCCTCTGGAACCAAGGGCCAAATTATACTCATTTATAAGTTGATCTGGACATTATATCTCAACAGAAAAGGAAATAATACAAATACATAAAATTTTATACCTGAATTAGATATTTCATGCAATTTAAGAGAAGTACAAAATCTAATACTGTTACATTACCATTTAAATCAGTAGTGCAAGTTCCAAAATTACACAAAGAAACCTTGTCACGAGAAATCAAAAAAAATAAAAATAAAAATAAACAATAGTGCAAGTTTTTACAGTTCTGGAGGAAAAGATACCCCAACTGTCAGAAGTTAGCTTTTACCTAGAACTATGAAGGGAAGATATGCGGGATGCCTACTGCTGTGAGGGAAAAGGTAACCTGAATATTGAGAAGTCAGGCTACACCTGATGCTGTGCTTCAGTGGGAAACAGTCTCCCTGCCAAAGGCATTAATCCTGCTCCTCTCCAAAAGAGAGCCCTTACAGTTGGACTCTGCTCCACACTGCTAAGAGAGTTTCCCAAGAGAGATGTCCATTGCTGCTGTCCTCCACTCCCCTGAGGATGTTTCTCAGCATAGCTGTCAATTCCTTTTCTGTTCTGATCTATTAGAGTTTATAGATGTCCATTTCTTCTCATCTAGAGCTCAAATTCTTACTTCTATGTTTCACTCAAGAAAGGGGTGAAATGCTGCAGAAATGTAGCAGTCTCTGGTGAAAAGTTGTTACTTCTGCTCTGACCTTTTCAGGACGTTTGCCAGCAAAAGGGTATGTTGTTTCTATAACCCAATCTTATAGCCGGATTTTCATCTACTCCAGTGAAAAGTCTTTACCTAAAATGCATTCAAGATATATATTTGGTAGGAAGGATTCTAGGAGAGTTACAGAATCTCCCAGGGAGGAAAAAGGCAGCTGCCAAAAAAACAGGCACAGGGCTTGAAAATGCTGAAATATTGGGTGGATTTCATGCTCAAGAATTGGTTGATTTCAGGCTCAGGGAATCTTTGGATTTCTGCTTAGCTGGTCAAAGTTAGAGTGTGTTTCTTTGGCTCTGCTTTCAGGTCCAAAGAGTGTTTGTTTTACTGCCCCCTTTTAAAATTTTGATTCTGGTTTCAGGTTCAGGGTGTTTCTATAACTGGTTCTGGATTCAGGAAGAAAGTGTGTTTCTTTGACTCTGGTTTCAGTGTCAGGATGTTTTTCACTCTGATTTCAGGGCCAAAGGGTATGTCTTTCACTGACCCTATGTTCAGGGTCAGTGTTTATTTATGTGGCTCCCTCATTTACCCTATACAAAAGGTTCATAAATGCATAAATGTTCTTTTTCCATGAATGTGTTGCTGTAAACAATATAAAAGCAGACACCATAATGCTTCACCAATTTTAACACTGTAAAATACTTTTCTATTGAAGACATACTCTTCTGTAACTGATTATATGAGTGTTGCCTAAAGATCTTACCAAACACTTCATAATCTGATGGCCACCCTAACTTTTTCATATAGTTGCATATTGAAGTTTCATATTGAAGACAATTGAGTTGTGCAGAGGCTCTACCACACTTATTACATTCATATGGTTTCTCTACAGTATGTGTTCTTTTATGAATTTGAAGATGTACTGGCATGCCAAGGCTTTACCACACTAATTGCATTAATAGGCTTTGTCTCCAGTATGTGTTCTTTTATGCCTTTGAAGTGTACCATGATATGCAAAGGCTTTACAACACTGGTTACATTCATAGGGTTTCTGTCCAGTATGTGTTCTTGTATGTATTTGAAGACGACTGTGACTTGCAAAGGCTTTACCACACTGATTACATTCATAGGGTTTCTCTCCAGTATGTGTTCTTTTATGCCTGTGAAGATTACTATGACATACAAAGGCTTTATCACACTGATTACATTCATAGGGTTTCTCTCCAGTATGTGTTCTTTTATGTCTATTAAGATTGTTATGACTTGCAAAGGCTTTACCACACTGATTACATTCATAGGGTTTCTCTCCAGTATGTGTTCTTTTATGCATTCGAAGACTGTTTTGACATGAAAAGGCTTTACCACATTCTTTACATTCATAGGGTTTCTCTCTAGAGTGGGTTCTTGTATGCCTTTGAAGATAACTGAATTGTGCACAAACTTTACCACACAAATTACATTGATAGGGTTTCTTTCCAGTATGTGTTCTTTTATGCATTTGAAGACTACTGTGCCATGTAAAGGCTCTACCACAGTGGTTACATTCATTGGGTTTCTCTCCAGAATGGGTTCTTTTAGGCCTTTGAAGACTACTGTATTGTATAAAGACTTTAACACACAGATTACATTCATAGGGTTTCTCTCCAGTATGTGTTCTTTTATACACTTGAAGACTACATGGACATGAAAAGGCTTTACCACACTGATTGCCATCGCAGGGTTTCTCTCTGGTATGCTTTGTTTTAGGTTCTTGAAGACAGTTTTGAAATTCAAAGGCTTTACCACATTGATTATATTCATAGGGTTGCTCTCCAGTA